AAAAGGGTGCAGCCGTTTCTTGCCAAACAAGTTGGTGGAAGACCGTGGGGGGAGATGACTTTTGTTTTTGCATTCTTGTTTAGAGTTTTTATATATAGGGTGCATTCATGTGCAAGGTTGTGACCCACGTTCTGGTGATCTTATCTCAACTGGCGCGTTTGTAGCCTGGCTGCTGAAAAGAAAGCAAGTGGCCAGGTGCGATGAACACGGTGCAGGGAAGCCAGTTGCATTTTGTTCTGAGGTCTGCTGACTACTACCCGCTTTTGTTTAGCATGGATATGTGTCCTGCCCTACGAGAACTACTCTCATGTGGGAATCCAGCCATCCGAGCCAAAGCCTGCAATGCCTCTCAGCTGCAACACAACGAGCGACGTGTCCAAGGTGTAGGGCAAAAGGATGCAAAAGGTTTATACATTGCACGTGCATGAGGAGGTAAGGAAAGCCTGAGATAGACTAGACACTCTTCAGAACGATGGAAGATCGACCGACGGCGCTGGATGTATTTGAGTTTTTCTTGGCCAGTCCCAGACTCTTCTTTACATCCGCTGTGGGGATGTGCCTGCATGGCTAGCCACGCCCAGTCTCCCGACCTTTCTTACCCACGCTCAGCTTGTCGGGCCCAGCGGCTCAACATCTGCCTTGTTGGCGGATGGCTGCATTTCACCTTTGTACCAGTCATCTGCCAGTCTGCCAGTCTGCAGTGCCCCCATATAAAATCGAAGGATGCAGGTTCAGAATCTGGTGCAGTTTTTTCTTTTCGGCTTCTGTTCTTGTAGGGTTCCCAGTCCCAGTCTACTACCAGGTAGATGGCAATGAAGAGACAGGATGCGTTTGCTGATTTTGTGATTCACGTTGATACTATGTCTATGTATACACCATTATACACCTATTACTAGTCCTATTACTGTTACTGTATTTCCTCGTTTCTTTTTCATTTCTCCAGTTCCTTGGCCGGACCATTGTGGTGCTTTGCTTAAGCTTTGGCAATACGCCCATCCGAGTGCTGAGGCAGTGGGCAACATGGTGCGTCATTCGGATTTGTTCTACAAAACCATGAAGCAGGTGCCTAGCTTAGCTGGAAAATGATATTTTGTGTTATGCGACTTTATTTATGCAAGAAAATAATGCCGTCAATGAACCATCGTCAGGTGCTAAGATGGTTAAGGACTTTGAGACTTAAGCGTGTAGAGGTTTGAATGTGTCACAAGTCGTATGAGTCATGTGCAACTTGGCCACCGCTCGCAGCCTGATTATTGGCGCACCTGTTTGCGCAAAGCATCCACAACGGTCTTTTGATGTCTTTTCTGGGAGGCCGGCATCATCAAGCAGCTCGTGCGGCTGTGCAGTGACAGCGATGATGCCTGTCGAAAGCTGGCCTCCTTTGCGGTGGGTCCCGTTCTGAGAGGTTGGACGCCTTGCCGCGCAGCGCCCGCTCACCAGCGCGAGTGGCTCAGGTAATTTTGCCTTCCACTCAGACGAGCTCTACGAAGAATTGGCCCCTGCACTGCCGCAGTTGCTCTATCTTCTGCGAGACCCTGAAGAGAAGACACGCGCCAACGCCGCAGGAGCGAGCTATCCTCAGTTTTGCCTTGGCTGAGGAGAAAACATTTGCATTTTCCATTCATGTTGCATGTGGGTCAATGCATGTCATTTGATTGCTGCCTCGGGCCAGCTTCAAAGCTTCAAAACGCCAAGGATTGGGAACTTGGTGCGGAGCCTTGACATGTTTTGGACCGTTTTAGCCAGTTTGAAGCGCTCCACTCTTCATACTATATTATACTGCTCCTTGAAGTGCAAGTTTGAGCGGTTGAGCTCAGGAACTCTGACTTGCTTTGCCCAGTGATCATTCGCGAGGGGGCATTGGAAGGCACGCACGTTCCGCGCAGCCAACACGGTGAATCTCGGAATGCCGCCATTGCGCAGGTCTGTGCGGCATCGTGAGGGCGCGCTGCCCACAGACGCCGGACCCGGTGAGCTTAGCGAAACTTGCGGCAGATTCTTCTGTGGCTCGTCGCATGTAACAGCTAAGTGCGGCATCGTTGTTTGGAGAGTGAAAGAGCATTGTAGTAATGCACTTAGCTACTAGTAGTTTCTTGCTACTAGCTTGTTACTAGTAGCGATGCACTTGCTACTAGGAGTGTCTCAAGCGAGGTGAAGATCGCCCTTTTCTCTCTTGGAAATCTAGCCGTCCATTCAGAGTGTCGCTCAGAGCTACGAGCCACAAAGGCGGGACTCGTGCCCAAGTCACTCACGGACAGGGGAGTTGTTTCATGTTTTCATCCATCGGGTCTTGGGACGTTTATTCCACGAATGGATTTTGAGAGTGTTCCTTGCGCTTGCGCTCTTCATGTTCGAGGGCGCCCTACATTGCATGAATGGTACGTTGAGCATTTGCCTCGAATACCGGCTCAACACGATCTCACCTCATTCACCAAGTCCCACCCAGCGGGAGAAAATGGGAGCCGGCTCGTCCAATCCAGGGTCAGGGTACCCACCTTGCGGGTTACGCTTCTTTAGGAACAAGAAGCTACTAGGGGCTCCTGGCATCGCTGCTAGGAGCAAGGACGCTACCTCTACGATGAGGTTAGACAGAATCCTGACTATTAGTCTATTTTGAAAAATAAGTCAACATTTTAACTATTAGTCTATTTTCGAAACAGCCCAAATTTCCTGACCTGTTTCCGGTCGTGTCCAGGTTTCCTGACTCACTACCCCTCTCTTTTGACTTATAGTTTCAAACTGTCAAACTTTCTGGGGCCCTGCGTCCCTCCAGCTCAAAAGTTTCCCACTTGGTTTTCCTCACTCACGGCTTTGGATTGTACTTCCAAGTTCGGGACCTTCCAGCATTTTGGATTCTTCCATTCGAGTTTCCTTTGTCGGTTTCCTGACTGCTTATTGAGGGGTTTCCATGGGTTTCCTGCCTTTTATCACCTCACCTCATCACACTTATTTTGGCCTTACTTCATTGCAGCGACACATCCACGATTTCTCACTAGCTGTAATTGGCTAGTCTTTACATACTTGAATTAGTGGAAGCTTCTCTCCGCTGAGCCCTTCATGTGACTGGGTCATGTAGTCATGGGTTTGGAAACATGCAGCTGTCAGGTGGTGGAGGTATGCCACTTCTTGGTGAATATTTGCAGCTGCGAGGATATGGTGCACAAGTGGCTCAGCCTTACGTTCCCGTGCATTCTTGCAGATGTGGGGGCAGTTTCTGGAAGAATGTAGTTATGCCTTATGATGTTGAATGTGCTGTCCCCCAGGTACGCCAAGCGTTTGTTGCAGAAGCTGGGGTTTGAGACGCTTCGCAAAAAGACATGAAAACAAAGCGGAAAGCTGCTTGCCGGAGAGACAGACGGGTGCTTGTGCTTGCATGCTGCCATGACCAGTGCTAGCTGAACTGAAGCAAGAATCTTCAACAAACTGAATGCATATGTAGCACCTGCAGGTCCACACCGCACGCCGGGACCCTTACATTCCTTGGAACTGCTCCTTGAAAGTCACGTGAATTCAGGCCGTTGTGGCTGCTCAGGGACTTCTTTGTTTTGCAAGGTACCGTGACAAGATGCGATGTGCACCGAGTTCCTTAGGCCTCGCAGTGCCCTAATCGAGCAGCCGCGAGGGCCGGCCGCCGTGTCTTCGTGTTGCACCCAGATGACGCGCGGTGCACCATGGTGCACCCGGGCGAGACAGATGGGTAGAACGTTGTCAGACAAAGGGGGTTGGCCTTTTATGCAGCTGCTTTTGGCCTTCACATGCCTTGACAACTCGAATGCTGAACGCACACAATGTGCTACTCATGTGCACTCAGGCTGATCTTTCGGGTGCTGTAGCTGTCGCCAAAGAATCGCTGTGCGCTTAGTTGTCATATGTTGTCATCGATTGGGCTAGGGGAGCAGGCTCAAAAAAAGGAGATAGCACCAACGTTGGCCAAGAAATACAAGCAGAACTCAGTCCGGCTCGGCGAGTGTTACCACGAGATTAGCCTCCCTCAAAGTCAGCGATTCATTCCAACCCAAATGATCCTATTATCCTGACGAAGTATGGCCTGAGTACATATTGGGCCCAAATGCAATCTCTATGCAACAAGAGTCACGCAAGCCGATCCGAAAACTGACTACACATACTGTAATGTTACAAAAGTATAAGCAGTGTGCGGTGTGCGGTAGCTGAATTTGATTGGAACAAGAAGACCAGCACAGCTATTCAACATACTTGTGACATACACACACACACACACACGGAAAAGTGTTGGCCAACCAGAAGCGCCTCGCGATGTTGTTTACACAAAAATTCGCTGAAGTTTGACCCAACACTTGCAGTTTACATTTTGCTCCATCACCTGTTGCCTAAGGCTGCGGAACAGGTGATCCTTTCTTGTTATATATATATATACATACTATATACGTGCCCACCTAGCCTGGAAGACACCATCAGCGCATCACGGCGAATCCCCACTTGCTTTACTGACCGTCGTCCCCGCCCAATCTTGTTTGGGCTCTTGGTTGGGCAGGTCGTCAGGTGCGGGTCAGAACCAGGCTTTTTCAGATGGGTCTGAAGAGGCAACAACCAATCAGGACGCAACAAACCATGCTCTAATAACGCCCAGTTTTCATGTCTAGAGTTGGCGAGCACGGTTGTCCAAAGATCGCACCCATCTCAAGACTCAAGGCTAAATTGCACGATATGCAGGCAAAGTTGGCAATTCCATGTGTAAATACAGCAATTCTTGCTGTACAGCTTGGGTGATTGTGTGATCTTCGCGCCGATCGCCGCGTCGATTTTTGGCTGCCGGGTGTAGCGGCTAGCGCCTGGGCCTTCTCATTTTGCCTCTGAGAGGTGCGCAAACTGAGTAAGACACCGAGGGTGCCGGCACATCAGCGTACATCAGACTCAGATCGTTTGGTCTTTTTTTGACGACGTCCATATGTTGAGCCTGGCACCAATATCTATGGAATCTATGGTGATACCATGCGCCGTGTGCAGGCAATCCTGGCCAGATGGTCGTCAGACAGCGTGCGAGGCATGATTATGGGACAGGCTGTTAAAAACATGTGCTCCTGCCAGGCTGTAGACAGTTCTTTGCTTGCAAGATGTTGCAAGAGTGCTACCAGAGCTAGACTTGCTCTGCAGTTCAGCAGCGGTTTACATTAATTTACCAGAGGTAGCAGAGCCAAGTTCTCATAAGTTCTTATTGCATTAGCCGCGGCAGAGGAAAAAGCGGTTGTGGGAACATATTCACAGAACATGTGATCTCAGCTCCCATCTCATCCACATAAGGTATATTATATATGGCTTATATACGGTGTTCGGTGTTTGCTGACGCTAGTCCACAGCCGCACCCGTCCACACGAGTCCCCTGACCAGGCCCTGTCGACAACGTCAAGGCATGCACATGCTGAGGGCTGTTTCGAAAGAAAGACCGCCAGCTGCCGACAGACAGAAACAAAGACCAGAGTTTGCCGAAATTGGACGATCCCTGACTGATAACTTCTTCTTTAAACCTCACTTGAGATCTTGGCTTTCTTTGTGAAGGTGCTTTGAGCTGGTGCCTTCTGTGTGTGCTGCTGGCGATTGGCAGCCGGGCTTTCGTTGCAGCACCGCAACGTGCCGCTCAGCGCTCAGTGGACATCGTCCTGCTGTTTGAGCGTGCAATTGGTGCGACAGCGGCTCATGTTGTGCTGTTACTGCTAGATGACTGGGGCCCCGCATGAAACGCATTGTTTCCGCTTTGTTTCTTGGAAGTGCTTGTGACATTGTTTTGTTTGTTTGCTTCTCCGCTTTGTGCTGCCATCCCTGCAGCAGTGTTCTGATTCCTTGTGGTACTAGATGGGGCAAGTGTGATGTGTACAGTGTACACACTACGGGTGTGCCTTGTGTGCATTCTGCGCCTTCTCTCTTTCACGGCCTTCATTCGCTCTATCGTGCTGCCATTGCCAGAGTATTAGGTGCGATTAGACATCCACTTGCGAGATATGCAGCCCATGTATTGCGCTCGTCCTTTTGATCTTCGGACGCTCTAGTCCCCTACCACTTAACTTCCGAGTCTGTTGCGCAATTCACCGTTTAAACTTAGCTAGCCGACCAGTGCAACAGATGTGATTTTGTGCGGAAGTTGGCTGATGTCACCAGCTTGCAATGTTTCAGGTCCCTTTTAGGAACCATGTGCCGGCGGATCAGCGCCAACACTCAGCAGCACAGGAGCCGGGCATGCTTTCAATTTCATGCCTCACAGCCCACCACCTGCAGCCAGACATGCAGAGGGGTACCCTGTGAGATTGCAATCGCAACATGTGTTTCTGCAAGATATGCCGACCATGACAGGCCGTGCTGCTAGCCTCAGCTGTTCCGGAGGTTGCAAGGGCTGCAGATTCTCTCGATGAAGCGCTGCACCCATGGCACTTTGGATTTTTTTTGGCAACCAGCGTCAAGTGCAGGATGAGTTAACACGTCGATGGAGAACGCTGACGGGAATGTGACGGGGCCCCGATCCTGTTGCCAGTCAGGGATCTCGTTGAAAACACCAAGGTTTAGCATTGCGCCGATCTATGGGGGAATCCTGTACATCATAGCATTGGTGGTCCAGATGCTCCTTCTGCATCAGTTGGGCCGGAACTTGGAGGGTTAAGGTCTGAAATGTGCGGAATGTGACAAGAGCAGAGAGCAGATCACTTGCTGTCTGATTTCGTTTCCCTTGTTTTTTTTGGGCGGGTAACTTGGGGTATTCTCACTCAAACCAGTTTTTCATAGTTTTTCCCAACGGGGATTGACGATTGATTTGTGTTTGATGTTCTATTTCGACATATTTCGACAACACGTCGGCTTGACCCTCCGGTGACGTGCAGAGTTTGCAGAGCTTGCGATTGGAAGATGGGGCAAGTAGGATCTGGCACCACTCAGGAGGGTGAAGTGGGAATGGTACAACTACGTTTATGTCGGCGCTGCTACTCTATGGCTGGGACCAGTACCTCGAACGCATCCACTTTGAAGTTCCAGATGATTGATGAATTTGGAAGGAGGCGGTGGAACGCCTTTGTAAGTCTTACCTTTTGCCAGTTTAGTCTGTGGTTTTCTCTACTTGTCCCAGCCCAAAGTTCTTCAGGGCATTGCAGTCAGTCACTTCTTGTTGACATCGTCCTTGAAATTGCTTTCATTTGCTTTTTGCCCTGTGAAGGAGGGTCGAAAGTATTTCTGGCGCGACCAGGGTGGGGACTGATACTTGTACTGTGTATGGTCTGCGTCAAGTTGCGGAAATGGCCAGGAAGGCGAATGATCTAAGCCCGAATAAACCTGCCACAGCCGACCAGGCTGACTGACGCCGCGTCTCGGACGTGTCCTCTTTTCTTCGACCGGGTCTCGGGGTCGGGGAGTCGGGGAATCCTGGCTATACGTAAGAATCGTAAGACATTTCTGTAGAGCTTCACAGCTGCGATGTTGAGTTTCACCGTCAAAGGAAGGTGGTGCAAGGTGTTGTCCAGCTGAGGCTGTTGTCCTGCTCTTTACCTACAAGTTCGACGCTGCGAACCAACCTTTGGACCTGTGAGATTTTCACGGCAGGCTTTGTGGCAGCTGTGTAGCGGTCACATTGGCACCTCGTAGAACTTGGTGGGCATAAGCAGCTGGTGCCCGCCAATGTGTTGATGCGGCATGTGTTTGAGTATCTTTGAAGTGGCTATCAAACATGATCCTCAAACTTTGAATCAACATCCAGCATTCAGATGTGTGTTTGCTGATGTTTTGTTGTGCCGCTGTTGTCCTTCTTTTGAGTTAGTCACGGTTAGATGGCACGCGCAAATCTGGATTGCGTCTTTCTTCACCTGTAAAAACAAGTTTGGTATTTGTGGATTCACGTCACGGAGATGATGTTTGAGTCCACCAACATGACGCCCATACCAAGACTCGAAGATCGCGAACGGCTGAAGAAGCAAGTGCTTTTGCGAGTTTCTACTTTCAGGAGAGAGGCGTTGTTGCTAGTATTGTTCAGAGATGGTCGAATGACGTTTCAGGATCTCTCTCTCTTTCTCTCTATGCGTGTTGTATAGTATTACTATATAATACAATATATATATATTAGGTTTGTCTCACCTCACATGTTGTGGTCTTGGGGGATGTGCAATCAGATGGAACTGAAAGCTGGTGACAACAACCGAGGCTAGACCGGAACAAGCGATGTAGCAGTGGCCACGAGCCAAGGAACGCACGGCTATAGCTCTGTGAAGGATGCCAGATTTAAGGGCTCTTGAGTTTAAGTGAAGAGTCTTGTGAAGGTCACTTGGCTCAGCAACAAGCTGAACGCCAATCGAAGACAGAATCGGCCATTGACCAAGACAAGGAACCTTGGCTGCCTTAGCCTTACAAGCGCCATGCTTCTGGGTGTTGACTCGCATTCTTGGCTGAATAACTATAAGATCTTATAAAACCGTAGAAGTTGTCGATATGTGCAGTTGCCACGCCGCTTGGCAAGGACTACAGCAGATGCGCGACTTCCAATTTAGCACCAGGCCGACCTGCACACGGACGGACGCTTCAGAAAGGAAAGACAGAAAAAACTGAACATGACTGCACAGATTCTGAATCTCAGAAAATTTGGAATATTGAAAAGACTCATATGGCATGGTTCTTGAATGTCCTTTCAGGTCCGTCCGTTGCGAAGGTGGCTGCTTGTTGCCGTCGTTGCTGTTTTGTGGGGTTCTGCTACATACATGTTGCATGCTCTACCAATGTCATGATGTGTGTCACGTGTGAAGTGGCTCCGCGGCAGGATACACCTGCCGATGCTTCGAGGGTCACTGTTTGCGACGCTGAGGAGGCCATACTCTCCGCAGAGGAGGCGGAAATCGGAAAGGCTTTGATGGCGGCATCACTTGTAGACCTTGTAGGCTCATTCATCCAAGTGGCGTGGACCTTTATTGAATCTTATTGGTACAGTAAATAGTGAACATGATATGTATTAACATTGAAAAAAATCACAACGTCACTCACGCGTCTTTCTTGGACCTTTTAAGTGATAAACTGGCAAAGCTGATCGACAAAACGGATGTGAGAGGCCGATATAGTTGAAGTTGCAAAGCAGCAGTTGTCGGAGTGGGCCTGGCTCCAAGTGCACGACAAACCTGCCAGGTTTTAAAGTTATGACAGCTATGATTTGGCCTTGAACCAAGGACTTGATGAAGGAGTCCTTGACAAAAGAGATTTGCCTTCAGTGTTTCAAATTGAAACATGTGACCTCTGCACCAACCAGTGGAGAAGTGCGGAGACTGATTGATGGACATTGTGAAAGATTCTGGCCGTGAGCATGCAGGAGCAATTCGGCCTAGCCAGAGGCGAGGTAGTCGTTTCGGAACGCAGAAAAACGATCGCTTCGGAACGCGTGTCATCGTTAGTAGGTTGGAAGCCATTGCTACTACTATGGAGGCCATCGCTAGTAGATTGGAGGCCACCGTAACCACTGGCAAATGAATGAAGGATGCAGAGCATTTGTGTTACATGGTACTGTGGAAGCAATTACAAACAGAGATCATCATGTAGATGAATATCCAAAGGGACGTTATTAACACCCCCCCCCCCCCCCCCCCCCCCCCCACCATGGTAATAGAAAAGAATAAGATGAAGAACCACAAGCCGCTTCAAAGGACAGATGCTTGTGGACGCGTCTTGGCAGGGCAAAATTATTGGGGGATTAATAATTTTGCTACCTTAGGACCTTTCCCTCGCTTACAGCCGCCGTGTCTGACTGGGCCCCTTCTTGGATCTGGGCCCCCCTGCTCTTGGCCTGTGGAAGCGTCTGTAAGGTTGGAACACAAGACCCTGAGAACTTGTCACCCCACCCTATCCTTGATCTTTAAACCCTCCCCATCCGCGTCTGTGTGTGTGTGTGTTCTAAAGTGACCCAAAAAACCAGGTGTGTTGTGTTCCAAAGTGATCTCGCTTTTTATCAACCCTTCCATGGTTTTGGGTTGTTTTGTGTTCCAAAGTGACACATCTTTTGTGTTCCAAAGTGAACTAAAACCCTGTGTTCCAAAGTGAACCAAAACTTGTGTTCCAAAGTGGCTCTCCCACCTAGCCAGAGGCGAACCATTGTCCCTCAGCAAGTTGGAGGAGATCCTGGAGGTTGTCTTTCTGCCTGAAGGCAGGTGGCTGCAAGCATGCAGTGTGAAGTTGCTCAATGCAATGCACAACCCATGACAGGCGTGTCATATGGCCTCAAGCAGACCTCAGACAATTCCTCTTCGACGCAAAGCAGTGTCCAAGAGACACGGCCCTGTAGCGAGAGTGAGGATGCTGAGGAAACCACGCCAGCGCCAGCAAGGCTCAAGTGCGATGTAAAGTCCAGGCCAACAGATGCCAAAGATCCACGAATTCCGCCACGTCCAAAGATCAGACGATCTAGTCCTCGGAGTCAGTCGCTTTCCGCGAGGGCACCCAGACGACGTACGCGGGCGTGACGCGGAGGATCGTGATGATGTGTTCGATGCCAGCTGTGTGAGGCTCCTCGCAATCCTGCATGGCGCATTTAGACACCTTAGTGGGAGGTGTGGGTGAGTGTTGCTTGTGCAAGTGCAATGTTGCAGGGCTTGGCAGTCACAAAGCAATGTTCACATGAACATTGGCTCCCGATTGTTTGTGTACAATTGGTGGCACCCTGCGCAGGCCTATCCACCAGCTCCCTTTGACTAATTACCATTATTGCAATCACTTGGGACAATGTAGCTGAGCCAAATGTGCTGCCCACGCTTAGACCGCCCACGCTTAGTTCGAAAGAAGCAGATTGCAGAAAAGATCCATGTACAGTACAGTACAGTAACACAAACCGGTTTTGATCATAAGACGTCGTGCTGCACTTTTGGGTGGGTGACTGTCCATGATGTGTAGATTCCGCAGGCCGCCAGTTCAGACAGCAGCTCAAATCAACAATCCCAGAGCAAAGATGCCACATGGAGGATCATGAGTTTGACCTGTCGCTTCATGTTACCCTTCTGAGTGGCCAGAGTACGGATTTGCGTGTGCAGAAAGATGACACGGTGAATGAGCTGAGACTGCAAATACAGAGGCAGCTCGAGGTGAAAGTGAGCAGTTTAGTGTCGAGCGATGGCCGTCTTCTGAAGCTTCGCTTTTCCAAAGAAACTTCTCGGTTGTTTTGCTGGTTGATTTGAACACATTGTTCATTATTCTCCAGTATAGATGGACATCCTACTTATATATATATACACGTTTCCCGGTGGACCGTGCTGAACGCGACCGAGTCTTCTTTGATGTTGTCTTTCTGCTGGTTTTTGTCAAGGAAGGGGTCGTGCACAGCTGCGGATGCTGGGCTCCAAGACGGAGACACGGTCAGCGCGATCATTCGCAAGGCATGGATCGCGCCGAGTCACCGTGCCCATGCCTTTGCTTTGATTCGCAGTGATGGTACGGTGCTGAGTTGGGGAATGCCCAACTGGGGCGGCGATTCGTCCGCCGTCTCCAGCGAGCTGCGCGACGTGCAACTGGTGCAGGCTTCGGTGAAGGCCTTCGCAGCAGTGCGGGGAGATGGAACGGTCATTACCTGGGGCGATCGGTCCTCTGGAGGAGACAGCAGCAAAGTCCGGGAGGAATTGCACGAGGTGACCGCATGTTTCGACTAAACATGTCTAAACAATTGTTTTTTGTTTTTTTCTCCGTTGTGGCTTACTTCCTTTCAACTTCAGGGTTTCAGACTGGACTTGGCCCTCCTTTTTTGGTGTGAAGAAGCCGCCAGCACACACACACAGGTGCAGCATATCGCAGCTTCAGATACCGCATTTGCGGCACTCCGCAGCGATGGCACTGTAGTAACCTGGGGCCACCCAAGCCAAGGAGGTGACAGTCGCCAGGTTCAAGACCTCTTGCGAGATGTCCAGCAAATCCAGGCCAACAAGAGTGCCTTTGCCGCGATTCTTCAAAATGGCACGGTGGTCACTTGGGGTGATCCCAAGCGAGGTGGTGATTGTACCGCCGTGGAGTCGCAGCTGGTGGACGTCCAGCGCATCGAGGCCTCGAAGGGGGCCTTCGCGGCCATTTGTGCGGATGGTGTTGTGAGGACCAGGGCATGGCGTCCAACCTACCTGTACTAGCGATGGCCTCCACCCTAAGAGCGATGGCCTCCAACCTAATAGTAATGGCCTCCAACCTACTACTGTAGTCTATGTAGAATCAATCTAGAGTGTGCTTTGTGCAGATGGTGTTGTGAGGACCTGGGGATATGCCAGGGTGGGGGGTGACAGCAGCAATGTCCAAGATTTGCTGGTGGACGTGGTCCAGATTGCTGCAACAGAGGGGGCCTTTGCGGCCATTTTGTCGGATGGCCGAGTTGTGACCTGGGGAGAGGAGCGCCTGGGAGGTGATAGCTCTTCAAAGCAACGAGAGTTGAATGAGGTCAATCAGATCAAGGCGTCCAAAGGAGCCTTTGCAGCGCTGAGATCAAATGGCACAGTCACCTCTTGGGGTGATCCGGCCCGTGGTGGTGATGACAGCTATGTGAAGGAGCAACTGATAGACGTGAAGCAGATCGAAGCATCAGGAGGTGCGTTTGCTGCAATCTTGGGCGATGGATCCGTGGTTTGCTGGGGTTACGCGGGTGCTGGAGGGGACACAGGCGATGTTCAGGATCAGCTGGTGGATGTTCAGAGGATCTATGCATCGGCGGGAGCTTTTGCTGCAGTATGTGCAGACGGATCGCTTGTGACCTGGGAGCATACGCACATGGGTGGCGACAGCAGTGCGGTTCAAGAGCAGTTGCGCAGAACTAGTTTTGCTTAGATGTCCACTACGTGCATTCATCATAACTCTTACCCTCTGGCTCACTGACATGGATTTGGTCGGCATCATCGTGGAGGCGATTTACAGCTTTACCACCACCGCCGCAAGTCATTCAGCAGTTCAAAGCCCTGCAGTGCCTGAGCATCATCATCTTGCTGGGCAAGCCGCAGCGACCTCCACCGCAACTCGGTCTCGCAGTACCAATTCACAACGAGCGATACCATGTCAACAATGCCATCATCATCGTCAGATTGAGGCAAGCAGAATCTCGACAGAAAAAACCCATTCTTGAGGGATTGCGACTGCTCAACTGATGTTACAAACAGTTACTGTAAGCCCCACTAGTTCCAGCCTTTGCAAGGGCACAGCGTATGTGTTTGCAGAGAGAGAGAGAGAGCGAGCGAGCGAGCGAGCGAGGGAGGGAGGGAGGGAGGGAGGGGGTGCGAGCTAGGGTCACTTGTTGCATTTCGCGGTGACACATGCTTTTGGCTCCAAGTTGCCAGCGAGTACAAGTGGATGCAGCTTTTTGCATTGGTTCGAACTGTGCAGACTGCATTGACATTTAAACATCACGAGTCACAGGGTTCACAAATAATTTGTGACTTTTGACCGACGGCTGGCACTGCTGGTTGCTGATCAAGTGTGGCCGAAGCCAAGAACATCGACCCGTGAACTGGTTGAGGGCTCAGGACTAGCCCTTTGAGATCTTGGAGGGCGAAACTAGGAACAACGACGCCATTAGGTGGAGGCCATCGCAAGTAGGTTGGAGGCCATCGCTACTAGGGGCGGGGACGCTATTAGGTTGGAGGCCACCAAGCACTCACCTCGCTCATCCTTGATCTGAAAGGTCTGTTCAATCAACATTGTTTGATGAGGCGCCTGGGAAGCGTCGGCACTGAGTCCGGCCATGTTCCTGAGCGATGAAGCGATTGAACTGCTCTGGCCGCTGGTGACAGAAACACCATCCGCCTGAAACCCAGCAAGCCCCGGCTCAAAAGCTCAAACGATAGCCATCCATGATCAACGATAGCTGAGGTCAGTGCTGCATACGAGGTGCGCTTCGCAAATGCGCTGACATTTCGTAAGTTCC